TTGTCCATTTTGTCTTCTAAGGATGTTAACCACCATTTGTATACTAATTGTTTTCAACTTTCAATATTATCTTTCATTGTTCTCTGGCACTTAACACCCTGGGTTTTATCTCCCTAATCTGGACAATGGGAAAAACACAATTTCCTAAGAATTCAGATGGTGGCCCAAGACCTGGCAATCCTACCAGTAATTTTCACAGGGTGTTGGTGGTACCGGATAGCAAATCTTATGTCAACTAATATAAGCATTGCTCTTTATCTGCTCACTTGTGCACTGATGGTATCAATACTTTTTCCTCCCATCCAGATAATGTGATGGTTAAATCAGGAATAGTAACAAAAACCTACCTCCTGTAGATTAGTTTTTGTTTTACTTTGTACTAAAAGCAGAGTTCAGGTGACAACAGCTTCTCAAATTGGAAGCATTCAGTTTATCCTTCATCTACTAAAACAACTTCACCCTCACATCCAGCAGAGAATATAAATTTTAAAGGGTTTCCTCAACATTTTTGAAATAATGTTATGAAAAGTAGTTCATTTTTCAAGTAGATTAACAGTGCAGTGAACCTCTGCTGCAAAGGTGTCAGACTGGAAGCTTTTCAATATTAGTACTATAAACCTTTTAAAAAAAATCAGCACACAAGATAATTTTTATAACCTTCTTCAACCATTTTAAAATATTTGTGACTAATTTATCTGATGCTGATAATTTCATACTGCAATCAGAAGTGTGGTTTGAGAAATAAATATAAACAGAAATCCTGGTGAGCTCTGCACTCATTCAGCAACATGCAGTACAAAATGGAGAGGAAGAAATGCTCCATTTGGTCAGTTTTGTCTTTAATAAGAAATGAGGGATATATTCTGTTCATTTTGTAATTTTACTCCATTTAGATCATTGTAACATCCTTTCCCTTCTTGGAACTGGTGCTTCCATACTCTGTCCTGAAGGCTTTTTTTCTGGGAGGATCCAGATTAGGATTTTGTTGGCTATCCTCAGTGGAAACTTTCCTAGTTATATCTTGATACAGGACCGCTTTATTCAGAGGGCAAAGTGGGCATTTGCCCAGGGCCCACTGACTGTAGGGGCCCACATGAAGAGGGGGATTTCCCCCCCTCTGGGATGGTGCTGCGAAGCCTGTGCTGCCACAGCCTTTGAAGTCCTCTGTGTGCTGAAGTCATGTGATGGGGCCATCATGTACAACTCTGCACTATGTGAGCACTAGTAATATGCACAACCTTTTCTCCCACCGCCCGTGTCATTGAGGACCCTGATCTAGTGGAGCTGACAGTGGCAGGCACAGCATTGAGAGGCTGTGTAGAGGGCAAAGATGGCAGAGAGAAGCTGTTGGCTAAAATGGTACAGATATGCTGTTTTGGGGCTAAGATGGCACAGGCAGGCTGTTCGGAGGCTCAGAAGGCACTGGCATGATGTACAAGGTTTATGCATTTACCAGTTAACTTTTTGTTGTTGTTTAGTCGTTAGGTCGTGTCCAACTCTTCGTGACCCCATGGACCAGAGCACGCCAGGCCCTCCTGTCTCCCACTGCCTTCCGGAGTTCAGTCAAATTCATGTTGGTAGCTTCTATGACACTGTCATCCCCTTCACACTTTCCCAACATCAGGGTTTTTTCCAGGGAGTCTTCTCTTCTCATGAGATGGCCAAAGTATTGGAGCCTCAGCTTCAGGATCTGTCCTTCCAGTGAGCACTCATGGTTGATTTCCTTCAGAATGGATAGGTTTGTTCTCCTTGCAGTCCAGGGGACTCTCAAGAGCCTCCTTCAGCACCACAATTCAAAAGCATCAATTCTTCGGTGGTCAACCTTCTTTATGGTCCAGCTTTCACTTCCATACATCGTTACTGGAATAACCATAACTTTGACTATGCGGATCTTTGTCGGCAAGGCGATATCTCTGCTTTTTAAGATGCTGTCTTGGTTTGTCATCACTTTTATCCCAAGAAGCAGGCGTCTTTTAATTTTGTGGCTGCTGTCACCATCTGCAGCGAAAATGGAGCCCAAGAAGATAAAATCTGTCACTGCCTCCATATCTTCCCCTTTGATTTGCCAGGAGGTGATGGGACCAGAGGCCAATGAAAAGTTAACCTTTACATTGCATTATATACACAGATGCATTGGTAAACCATTGGAAAGATTTCTGCAATTTGTCCCTACATTTTCGCATAGAAGACAGTTGTTAGCTGTTACAGTTTGCAAGACCCTTCAAGACTACAATATAGATATTAAAGATTGTTGTGGTCAGGCATATAACACTGCTAGTAATATGTCTGGAAAATATAAAGGAATGCAGAAATGCATTCAGAAAATCAACACACTGGTGGTGTATGTACCATGTATTGCTCATTCTTTGAATCTGGTTGGACAACAAATTGTTAGTGTCTGTCCATGTGCCACATTTTTTTCCTATGGTTCAGACACTATTTGATTTTTTTCTCTTTTTCAACACATCATTTGTCTTTGCTTCTAGAGCATCTGAAACCAAATGAAAAAGTACGAGTACTTTTCTTGAAGCATCTAGGAGACACTCGCTGGTCTATCCATGCTAATGCTATTGAAGCTTTGCAACTGAACTACTGCAACATTACTAAATGTCTCCAAATTATGGGAAATGATCCAGATGAAAATTATGACATACAGCATCCAGTGATATTGCTTCCTAAAATAATGTAGAAATTGGAAAATATCTTCATATGTATCATATTAAGGAAGATTTTGTATCAGTTTCATAAAACAAGTGTCTATTTGCAATCAAGTAAGATGCACCTGGGCACTGCAACCACCATGTGAAATATGTCCAAAGTTATAAAAGCTGTAATAGAAAGTGCAATTTTTTTTTGATGAGACCAGGACTGAAGATGTTGTTCTAGAAGGAAGCAGAAAGTTTCAAGCTCAAACTTGTAATATAATTGACACACTTGTCAATTGTCTGCATGAAGGAGAGGGACTATATTCTTCAATAAACAGCAAGTTTAGCTTTTTAGATAACTTTGATTTCATATCAGTTCAACTATTAGGAAAACATGCATTATCTCTACAACAAGCTTAACAGGATGATTTGGAAAACACATTTACAAATGAATTTGTGCTTTCCAGAGTTTACTACAATGTTGCCTTCCCAGTGTCAGCAGCTACAAAGAGGATGAAGATTATTCAAACAGTGCATATTGTAGCAAATTCTTGTGAGAAAGCAACATCACCTCAGTCCACCCAAATGTTGATACAGTATAGCCTTTCACCTGACATTACAGTCTCTGTGGCTGAAGGAGAGTGTTCCTTTTCAGAACTAAAGCTTATAAAATCAGTGTTACCCTCTTCAATGCAAGAACGCATTAACAGATTAACAAAAATGTCAATTGAGAGTGATATTTTAAGCAACTTGATTTTGAAGATATCATTAGTGAAACTGCATAACAGAAAGCAAGAAAAATAATGTAAAGTTGTTTTCCGTTTGAAACCTCATAGTACTGCCTCTAACCAATTTGTGGTAACAGCAGTCCTACCAAAATCAATCTTCCTTGTGCAGTGCACTTCTCTGTATGATTTATCCAGACTGTTTGGAGTCTGTATACTATCGTACATGTTGGATCCCCAATTACATTTTGAGCAGCAAATTGCTATATCCAAAGTGTTTATTTTGGCACTGTAATACGAGGTAGCACTTTAGCCCTTTGGCACCAAGTCTCGTATTTTCTGAAGGTTTTTCTTTGGATACACTTTTTGGTTTTTTTTTAATTATTGAAAGTTTGCTTATGGTCATAAACTAGACTTTCTTTTCATTGTTATCTCGTTTGTCTGTTTATCTAAGCACAGTTCACTTATTTACTGCTACCATGTTTATTTTAGTGAGTTGGTCTTATTTCTGTTCTACTATTACATTGCTCATGCTGTGTGACCTGTTTAGGTGGGGAGTAAGGAAGAGGGAGGGAGGAGGAAGCCCCAGCCCCACTATTATATGTTTTGCCCAGGACCCTCCAGTCTTGAGACGGCCCTGCCTTGACCCCTGCTTTAACCCCCTTCTTTTTTGTTTCCGCCAAGAAATTGCTTGCAACGTTGTCGTTTTTTTTTCCTTTCGATCCTGATAGGGTAAAATAATAATATTGCTCAGTCGTGCCTGTGGTGAAAGAAATTGGGGGGGCGGGTGTCGAGGAAAGGGATGAGGGAGAACGACAGGAAAACCACCCATTCCCCGGCGGAGGAGGAAAGCAAGTCCGGCTCACATTGAGTGCTGCGCTCGAGCACCGTCCATGTCCCAGCACCGTTAAAGATATCTCTGCCTTTGCTGACCAGGCCTTTCTTTTCAAGCCCTGCGGCTGGGCGGTGCATCACAGACCAGTTAAAATTTTCTTTTTTTCCTCCAGAGCATCCACCCTCCCTCAGTGGTGGCGAAATGAGCGCGAAGAAAATCTGCCTCCTGGGTGCAAAAGTACGCTTTGCAAAACTCAGACCTGGCCCTCAAAATCTACCGATACGATAGTGGTTTTTTAACGATCTGCCCAAGTCTTACACCAATTACCTTATTTCCTCCCTCTCGTCCCCTGGTCCGTCTGCTTCAGGTCAGAGAGGATGAGACTGACACCCACTTTTCCCACCTTCCTCACAGTTTGTGGTTCCCAACCCTTCTTATGCCATCCCGCTGACCCTTCCCACTGTCTGCGGTGTGGACGCCTCTCCGCCCCTGATTTCCCTCAATTGGCTGCGGAGGACACTTCCATCATAACCCGCCTCATATTGAAGCGAGGTGGGGTGTGTGTGGAAAGGAATATGCGCCTCCGCTGATTGGACGCTATGTGCCCCCCTCCATAGCCAAACCTCAAATGATTGGGCGGCCGGGGCGCGTTCTTCCTTTGATTTGCTTGAGTGGCGATGGGCCCTCCTTCTTTGTGATTGGACGCCCGGAAGCCCACCGCGTTCCCGCAGACTTCGGGATCTTTGTGAAGAAAGCCCCCTTCGCCTCCCACCATTGGTCATCGGAAGTCCCGCCTTTCCATGTGATTGGTGATCGACCCCCTGCCTCTGAGCCTGGCTGGTGCCGCCGCTGCCCGGCCCGGCATGGCGGGTGGCTGGGCAACTGGAACCCGAGACCGGAGGAAGGGTGGCTGGGACCTCCGAGCTGCTGGGGTGAGGAAGTGGATCGGAGGAGGGCTTGGATTATAATGCTGGAATAATGTTGTTGTTGTTGGTGGTGGGGATCGAAGCCCATTGCGTGCTTTATTGCCGCATCCTTCCCTTTTGCCCGGGTCAGGCACCCGTCCCATAGCGAGTCTCCGTTACACCCTTCCAGGCCTCCCGGTTTCTCCCTTTTCCTATCTGCCTCCCATGCCTGGAGTCTTGGACTCGTCAGATCATTCCTTTAACTGGTTACCTTTTATTTTGCCGGACAAATCACCTTCTCAGACCAGTAGAAAAGATGTCGTGCTCCGCCTTCCCTTCCGGATGTGGTCTCTTGTTAGATTTCCCCCCACCCACCCCCGCCTTGTAGAAACAGCTCCCTCTGGTTCACCCACCTTGCGTTGGGCTGCCTTTAGCTTGTCCTTGGTGCTTGTTGGCTCTTCCTCTCAGGAAAACTGCGGCGTGGCAGTGTTTGCAGTGAAAGGCTTGAATGGGGAGGATCTGACAGTGGAAGGGCAGTCATGGTGGGGCATTTTTCAATCTTTGTTTTGGTGTCAGTCTCATTTTTTTAAAAAAATCCCTGAAAGGTGGTTTCTTCTTATGAAATGATTGGCTAATGCTTCCCCCCCCCCCTTTCCATGGGTGAGCAACCTGTGGCCCTTCAGGTGTTGTTCTTGCTATTGCATGGAGTCAAGAAGTATTTGGAGAGCAGCTGTTTGCCCTCTCCCAACATTTGCTGCTAAGCAGTGAAAATTGTGATTAAATCTGAAGCCTGGAAAGGAATAACTGTTATTTGATGTGCCTCATAGGTTCCCAAAGTGGTCTGTATGGACCCCCAGGGGTCGATTTCGACTTGCAGGGGTCCACATCAGAGAGAAAAAATTGGGGGTGCATGAGATGTAAATGGGGGTCTATGTGAGCAGATCCCATTAGGCAGATCATAATAAATATTCAGGCAATCCGTAATTACACCAAACACAGATTCTGTGTACATAATATTTCATAATATTATTTAATTAGGTACTATGTACTATCTGTATTGTGGTGTGCTACATTCATGTGTAAGTTCATAATTTTTTTGGTAAAATTTTATGGTAAATGTTGGTCATTTCTCGTTATTGAGCTATACGGGCACACACATTGCACGTGCACGTACTTGTTTAGGCTTGTATCAAAGCTTTGCACTGATTTGCTTGATTCATAATTGATAAATAGGAGTGTTAGAAACGTTCAGTTGCTTTCTGAGATTTGAGAAGAAAAGTGGCTTAAAAATACATTCAAAAATATAGATAGAAAATAGGTGAAAGTCAAGTGAATCAAAATCATCTTTGTTAGGAGTTCCTAAGAAAACTAAGTTCAAAATTTTATACATGTTTTGTAGTCGTTACAATTGCATAGGGGGTCTATGGAAGACAAATAAGTTGGCAAGTGGCCTACGGGGCAAAAAAGTTTGGGAATCTATGGCGTAGTTTCTTTGATTAGGTAACATCCATATGTGATTGTGCTACATAGATTAACAGTTTACTTATGTAGCGAAATGGCCACATGTTAGTCATACTCCAGATAAATTTTCAGCTGACATTATAAAGTGAATGTCAAGAGAAGCTGATTTGCACTGTAAGCAAACTGTTTTTGTTTATATTGCAGAGGGAATCTGAAGGGCTCTGTGTCAAAATATATCTACATTGGTCCAAACCACCGTCTTTTTATAACTGCTGAAGAATAAGAGTAGAGATGCTGAAAAAGAATCTCTTTGGCTGTTGCTCAATTTTGTAGTTGTGTCAGCATAATTTATGTAGAAGGTAACATGAGAATTTGCTGTTAAAAGGAATCAGTAATGCCTAACCAAAGTACGGTACTCCCTGATAATGGTGTTTAGAAGCCCTGATCCTTTTCTGAAAGAGAGAGTTGGATCAACTTTTTTCATCTCCTTTTGTTCTTTTGAAACTGAGAGTAAGTTTTAGCTCAGAATATCCATAGAAAAACAACCAAACAAAACTCTTATTGCACATATTGAAACTCTTGAAGGGCTTATAAAAGTCCATAATCACGTTCCATGGAGACTTTTAAAATGCCTTCTGCTGTGTTAATCCAGCTATATACACATGGCCTAAAGAAGAGCAGTACATAGGATAATACCTAATTTGTTAGGATCAGCTGATGGTCTTAGAAAAGTAAGCCAGTAAAAGAAGTGTGCTAGTTAGCATGTTCAGATCTGAAATTGCATGAAGAAAATGGAAGGGAAGAATATAGTATGTCTCCAAACAGTGTAAGAATGCTAGGCCAGGAATACCTGGGAAGTTGTTTCCCTATACACTAGGCAAAAAACACTTTGTCTCAGTTTTGGCAAACCAGTTCTAGTGGTTTTAATCTCTGCCAGGTCTTTTGTACACTAAATGGTTCTTAATTCCCAATTCAAAAACTTGTTTTTCTTCCTCACATTACTTCTTGCATAGTCAATGGCTAGTCTGACTTTGGGTATGACAATTCTTAAATAAGTAGGTGTGTTGCATCCAAACCAGTCCCCAAAGTTCTTCAGCCAACATATTTTTTCCACGCCTCTTTCCCCATCTTTGTATCTTGAATGACCAGCAACAATCAGTATTCTTTGTTTCTCATTAGACCAACAAAACATTATAGCTTTTTGAGTCTTATGATTTCTTGGCTTTAATTCATTTGTCTTGATGCTTCTTTGTACATCATCCTTTCAATCAAAGAAATTTTTAGACTCCTGTACATCATCCTTTCAATCAAAGAAATTTTTAAGACTCCTGTATTACATCCATGTTTCAAATACTTCTGACTTTTTAATAGTTGCCCATGTTGAAGTCCATAGTTTTGTCCATACAGTGGAAACAAGAATTTATAACATTCAGTGTATTTGTAATGCTAGAGACAAAGCTGCTGCAAAAAGTCTTGCATTACAGTGGAAACCTTACAATATTGTTATGGGAACATCTGTTTTGTGTTAGCTCCAGTAAGGATTGTATTGCAGTTACTCTCAGAAAGTACATGGAAGCAGGGTGGATAAAAATCAATGATTTTTAAAAAAATCAAATTTGATTTAAAATTATCTAAATTAATAAAAATAAATTTAAATGGTCAAAAATCTGATATTTTTTATTTAGATTATGATTTAAATCTAAATAATATAAAACACTTTCCATGCATGTGTTGTAACTCTAAAAACTCTTTGAGAGTTCTGGAAGGGTGGCATCAGGACACTGGGGAATTCCTTTGACTTGGATCTAAACTGCTGATGCTTAGCCTGAAATGACTAGAAACCTGAGTGAGCAGCTGAGGGATTTCAGCAGCGTTTATCTGGTCTGCCTTATTCCAGAGTTAGGCTAGTAGTGATCCGTGAGAAGATGTTCTCTGTCGTAGCAATCTCTATGGGGAAAATGTGTGGCTTGTTCAATGCTTGGAGATTTCAGTCTGAGTGAAGACCTTTATTTATCCAGCAACCCAGTTCCTCCAGTCTGCATTCTGAATTGGTTTTAAATGTTGCTGACAAATCTTTTACTGGCTATGCTGCTGTAATGTCTTCTCTGTTATTCTTGGGAGTTTTATTTTTTGCTGTTTAATTTTTTCTGAGTTATTTATCAGAATTACTTATTCCCTTGCATTTATCTATGTAGTTTTACAGAGAACATTGTAAAAATAAATTATAAAATATTAAAAGAATATACAACTGAATTATCAGAAAAATGCATTTATTATAGTTCTTGGAAACCCCCTTAGGAATTGTCAAATGGGAGGGTGGTATATACATATCTTAAATACATGAACTAATTCTTGCATTTAGTTTTCTAGGCTTCATGGCCAAGAAAAATATGGTAGGGGGAGGAGATTTGAAATGTCTTGCTAAATATACATTTCAATGGATAGTTAAACTTGTATGAAGCCTTTATTTTATTTAATGGGCTGTTCTTCTTTGTTCATCTCTTAGTGGAGTTTAGAGAGCATTGTGGCTATTCTGATTTTGGATGCAACAGCTCTAAACTATAATGCTTAAATGGATGCGATGATTCTGAGTGCTCCTGCATGGTTATAATATACACAATAGAACAATTTATTAGATTTATGAAATTACAATATATTTCCCTCCCCACTGTTGATAAGTGGTCAGAAATATAACAACTTGTAGCAGATAGACCTAGATTACGTAACATAACCATAATTATTTTCTTGGTGTGGGCATACAAAGTAGTTCTGAAAGCATGCAGAATAATTAGATTTTACATTTTTTTATTTATTTATTTAATTAATTTATATGCCGCCCACTCTATCCAAAGGTCTTGTGTGCAAATTTAGTTTTTCTATTAAACATGTAAAATTGCGACAGAGTTGAGATTATTCAAGAAGGCAACATCAACTAAAATGCGATTCCATCAGCAGACAGAATTGTTGTTATTTAGTCCCACCATGCATCACATTGCTCTTCATCCGTGGTCCTGTTATCCCAGTTAAGATAGATCCTCTCAGAGCCTTTCACAACTTGGTTGCGGGGTTTCATCATCCTCAGGTGCCATCCATCCACAAATATGAGTACCTTTCTGATCATTCTTGATATCAAATCGTTTATGAGCAGATTAAATAAAATCAATCCAAACATGATTTTTATTTCCTTCCTCCCTCCCTCCCTCCCTCTTGTATGTCGCCCGCACCCTGCAAGGGTATCCGGGCAGCTTCCAACATCAATTAAAACAGTTCCATTGAAACAAACACACTAAAAACCGATACAGTTACATCTATACTCTACAAAAGCAAAAATAAAACAAAAACAACCTACAAGAACAATCTAGATCCATAACTCAGTTAAAGTTTAAAAACTTCAATTAAAAAACTTCTGGAACAAGACGGTTTTCGACCTGGCGCCGAAATGTCAGTAACATCGGTGCCAGTCAGATGTCATTTGGGAGGACATTCCAAAGACTGGAGGCAGCTGCCGAAAAGGCCCTCCACCTACAGGCCATTCCTCTCACCTCACTGAGGGACGGCTCTTTCAG